GCGCAACCACGAAAGAAATAGGTGTATGCGTGAGGGAGTGAAGTGACATATAGTATAATGTATTTTACTTGCTCATCGCTATTAGGTTGGTGGCCATCGCTCTTAGGTTGGAGATCATCGCTAGTAGGTTAAGGAATGTTAAGGGCAAAGTTTCACACAGTTTCACGTTTCAGGTATTTGAACACATCCAAGGAAACTGCAGCATCGCCACCTTCGAGGCTGGCGCGATGTGTTCAGAGCTGTGTTGCCGGACTCGGTTCGGATAGCGAGGCAGGCGAGGCGCGTCACGTTTGGAGTGAGATGTAGTGTGACATGTACTTGTAGTGACTACATACTGATCACAAGATATCACAAGCCACAAAACAAAACATCCACTTCGGGTTCTCAAAGCGGTCTCAGGAGCTCACAGAGAGAAATCGATACGAACCACTTTGCTACATGCCCCTCGACCAATCAGGGCCGAAGTCGAGATCACAAGACAAGACAGATCAGATATTTAATGATTCTTATTTTGTGATATTTATGATAGTTGATGATAGTTTTATATATTTCTATGTTATGATTTTTTTTAATGATTGACATTATATTTATGAATTTGCTTTGTGCTATGAGAATGTCGCGCTAGATGATTGGATCTCGGACAATGTTGCATCTCTCGATTCACACGCACACATCATGCACTCTTTCCATACTTGTCGTCATTTCAGAAGCACTTAGTCTCTGCTTTGCGTTGTGGCATGTGGGAGGCAGTTTGTCGATTCTGAGGTACCGCCGGCGCTTTGCTCGGCCAAGGCCTGGCGGAGAAGCAAAATATTGCTGAGATTTGTATGATTCGCATAGATGATATTGATGCCATAGTGGATAAGGATAAGGCAATAATAAACCGCAATCAACTCGGATACAGGAGGATTTCTTTGCACGACCACTGCAGTCATTCTGTGCAGGCACAAGCCTATTCAGATGTGCACAAAAACTGCTAGACAGTCTTGAGCCTAGAAGGGTCCTTCTTGCGCTAAAGACACGATGAATCATTTGTGGGTTAGCTGGAACATGACTCCCAACGTAACTTGAGGTCTGGGCACAAGCACAGTCTCCGAGACGGACAAGCACACGCAAGGACTGGAGAGCCCATGATGCCAGTGCATAGCATCCAATTCTGTGTGGGTGTTATCTTCTTTTCGGCCTTCGTTTGTCTCCAATGCATCTTGCCTGGTCGCTTTTGCTAGTTGAAATTGCATTTGCTTTGTTGCCTTTTCCTTTGGTGGTTGCCTGTTGCTTTTGCTTTTCGCTTGCCAAGACTGATGGTTTTAGTGTTCCGTTGCTTTTTGCTTTCCTTTCTGTGCTCTTTCTGCTTGCTTTTGCTTTTTTGCTTCTTCACTCTCGGCTGCTTTGCTCCGCTTTCCCTGTTTCTTCTTGCTGTGGTTCAAAGAGAAGGCCTTCTCTCGCTTCATGATCAAAGGGGTCGTTGAGTGTACATCGCCTCCAGCTTTTTAATTGCAGGTTTTCTCGGCCTCATGGTCAGGAAATCCCTTATCCGACTGTTTCCACCAGCCTTGCTAATTCACAGATAGACGTTCAATGATGTTTATGTTTTGCATTGTTTTACAAAATGATTCCTGTAGGTGTGAAGTCATTTGCACAGTCGTAGTCGGTGAGGCGTTCGCTTGTGACGCCGAAAATCACGTCGCTTGTGACGCCAATTTGCTTGTAGCACACCCACCCCACCACACCCATGATGCTGGTGATGCTTTGCGCGTGCGCATTTCCGTGCTGCCCGGCGTTCACTTTGTTACTCTGCTCACGCACAGCGCTCGAACTGAGCAACCCCTCTTGCCTGCACAGTATGGCCACTTCGTGCAAAGCAGTATTGAGTGCGTTCCTGGACAAGATGGGGTAGGCACTGGCGCAAAAGAACCTTTGAAACAACATTGTTCGCGCAGGC